AACAATTAAGAAAACAGGGTCGACTTGGGAGTAAGGCTTGGAGATGATTGGCTCCTCCCATAAGACCTAACAGAGGAGCGAATGGGACATAAGCTTTTGCAAGAAGCAATTAGTTCAACTGGTTGGTTCAAGCTTTGAAAAGTTCTGTTTGACTGTGCTAAGTTTGGCCTTGCTGTGGATTTGGCAATTAGATCTCTGGCAGCATTCCAAGGGAGATAAGGTGGGTGTTTATAACGTTTCCCTGAAAGACTGTGGCAACTCGAGCAGACATCTGTCGGAATCTTCACAAACTGTTTTTGAAGCCGTGCAGGCTATGAATGACCATAATTCACAGCCGTATAAATAAAAGTTTTGCAGACTAAGGTTGTGATTTATGCTTTCTCAGGAAGCCTAGGTCAGAACAGCTAAGGGAAATGTTGTTAGAAATAATATGTAAACATTATTCAACTGATGCTACCTTTGAGATATGCTTGGCAGACTTTGAAACTGGCTGAGTCCGTGGGATCACCTTAAACATGGAGGAGAAAACGGGAAGACACAAAATAGGCACACAAAAGATATAAATCTGTATGTACAGATGTGGGAAATCATTTTCAGCTGGAAGACTTTAACAGAAATAACAGAATAACAGAGTTGGAAGGGACCGTGTAGGTCATCTAGTCCAACCCCCTGCCCAAGCAGACCCTACAGCATTTCTGGCAAATGGCAGGCTCGTCTCTTGTTAAAAACCTCCAGTGATGGAGCCCCTACAACTTCTGGAAGCAATATGTTCCATTGATTAATTGTTCTCACTGTTAGAAAATTCTTCCTTAGTTCTAGGTTGATTAGTTTCCATCCGTTGCTTCTTGTCCTGCCTTCGGGTGCTTTGGAGAATAGTTGAGCCCCTTTCTTCCTTGTGGCAGCCCCTCAAATATTGGAAGACTGCTATCAATCAGGTCACCTTGGAGATCTTCTAGTCCAACCCCCTGCCTCAATCAAGAGATGTGGGAGGGACAATACTTGGGACCTTCAAATATTGGAAGACTGCTATCAATCAGGTCACCTTGGAGATCTTCTAGTCCAACCCCCTGCCTCAATCAAGAGATGTGGGAGGGACAATACTTGGGACCTTCAAATATTGGAAGACTGCTATTGTGTCACCCCTAATTCAAGTACAGGTCGGAATGATAGAGGTGGAAGGGAACTTGTAGATCATCTAGTCCAACCCCTCTGCCCAAACAGGAGACACTGCACCATTTCTGACAGAGGGCAGTCCAGTCTCTTCTTGAAAGCTTCCAGTGATGAAGCTTCCACAACTTCTGAAGGCAGCTTCTGTTCTGTGGATGGTTAGTTCTCATGGTCAGGGAATTCCTCCTTATTTCCAGGTTGAATCTCTGCTCTTGGTTTAACCTGGATTTAGCATGTTGTGGGAACCCAACCAGAAAGCCCCAGCCTCTTTCCCCAGACAGGACTGATGGAAATAGCCGATGGCCGGCTCAAGCAACCCCAATTCAGACCTCCTCCATCTCCCCCACCTCCCCTCCCACCCCTTTAACTCCCCCTCCACGCCTTTAACTCCACCCCCTCCTTTAAAGGCTCAGGGCAGTAATCTGAAAAATGGGATATTTAAAAGATAGATTGGTCCTTCCCGATTGCCTTCCAAGATCCAAAATAAATGATGTCTGCAGGCCTGACAAGTGGTCTCTCCTCAGAAAAAAAGCATATCCTGTAAAGAGAATAATGTAGGGGGTTAACATAATCAATCATAACTAACCACCTCTCACCCCCAGGGGGGTCCCTTTGACTTATCGGGAAAGTTATTATGCAATTATTTTACTAACTTATCAGCTTTTACATTCCAACTTTTCACCCCTGTAGCTTCAGACAAAGGGTACCCCTTCCAATGCACTAAATATTGCAAACAACCTCTATACAATCTAGAGTCTAAACATTTTTTTCATCTCATAGTGAGTTTCTCCCTCAATCACCATTGGAGGAGGGGGTGGTTGGGTCAGTGGTCTTAGATTAGACCCAATCACATCTTCCATCTTCCCATAGTCTTTATGCCGCCCGAGTTTAGGTCGGCGCTGGGTCTCAAGACCCTGGACAGCACCCTGAAGGTCGGGGTAGCTGGTGAAGTAATGGATATTTGGGTTAATGTTAGGGTTCCAAATAGCATCCAAAAGTAAATCAGAGTCCAAAGCAAAGTATTGCTCAAAGTTCCAATTTATTAAGAGAGCCATGTGGGCACATCTGGGAAAACCCAAATCTGAAAGCTTCCCATTTTCCCCACCCAGTTGAAAGTTCAAAATCTTGCCCCCACACCCACAAGTCCATCACATGGTCTAATTTTCCACTGCCATTCTGGCAGTTCGACCCATCCAGTTCCGGTCAGATGCAGAGGTGCAAAGACAAAGGATGACCTTGGCTTTCTAGAAAGAATTTTGTTATGGCTACATATCATCTAACTCCATACAATCCTCCCTCCCATTTTTCCACAATAGAAAATGCATAGTAGAATAATAGAAAGTGTGGAAGGCCAAAAATCCAAAATAAAAAGAGGTCTGCAGGCCTGACGCGAGTTCTTTGCTCTGAATTAGACAACCTAAAAGTTTGGAAAACTCACATTCCAAGTTTGACCTTATTCAAAGGCCAGTTGTAAAATGGAACATACACTCTTGAGATCTCTTGGAAGAAAGTCAATAAATTGTCCCCCTCACCTTTTGGTAGACCTGGCTGAACCTTTTTCTTTCACATCTTTTTACGGGAAGAAGAGAACACCCAAGCAGGGATATATTAAAGCAAACAAAACTGCATTTACCAATATGAGCTCGTCTTGACAGTTTGATGCTCCTAGCAGTTTAATCAAGATGGGCTTTGAATGCTGGAACACACTAAATGTTACAAATTACCGAAAGCTTTATTAGTCATTCTTTTGAGTCTTCTTCTGTAGGCAAACAAGAGTAGGGAAATATATGCAAACAAAAATGAGAGCAATATAGATCAAAGCAATCACATTGATCATAGTTAAAGATGCTGCCTTATGCATCATGGATAATACTGTATTCATTTGCAATCCTGCTGGGAAGATTCAGATTTCAGTTTTGAAGCACAAAAAGGTGGAACTTTGGCTAAGTCTTGGCTGGGACCTCTTCCCAAAAAGCTCTTATCAAATGGATCAAACAAGAAGCACAAAATGATATAAATATCCTTAGTAAGGTGAGTACCTGAAATGGCTGAGCAAATACAAATGTACTTTTCAAGTAGTTGCAAGCTACCATAGTTTTCGGAGTATAAGACACACTGGAGTATAAGACGCACTAAGGTTTTGAAGAGGCAAATTTAAAAAAAATTTTTTTGCACTCTGCAGACCTCCCCAAAAAGGCCTGTTTTCACAAAAACAGGTCCGTTTTTTTTTGTCAAAAAAAGTGGATGCATAGCCTTTAGGAGACTTATAGAATGCTCCTGGGAACTGGAGGTGGGGGGGCTAAATTGAGCAAAAAAGCAGTCCGTTTTTCACTCATTTCTGCCCTCCATAGCCCCCAGGAGCACTCTGCAAGACTCCTAAAGGCTATGCACGGCCATTTTGGTGAAGATGGTGGGGTTTCGGGAGGCAAAAAAATGCTGTATTCAGTGTATAAGACGCACCCAGATTTTCAACCTCTTTTTTGAGGGAAAAAGGTGCGTCTTACAATCCGAAAAATATGGTATTTGAAATTACAACTGCCATAAAATCTTAGGGAGATATTTACTCGAGCGAGATTCGAACAGCTTGACACAATGGTCAGATATGGGAGATTACATTCTATACCCTACAATGAGCTTATCTGGCTAACATCCTATTTCATTGTTGCTTGTATAAGGGGGTGAAAGACAGGTTCCTTGGTCTATATACCAAACAAATCACCCTTATGGGATTCCCATATCAAAACAACTTATTTTATGTGTTGCCAGAACCCGAAAATAACATTTAACATAGCACAGTGTTAAACAAAATGCAGCCCTGGATTTTTAGCATAATTTTGATTCTTTTTCCTCTCGCAGGTTGAGAGAGATTTTGAACGGGAATATGGAAAGCTTCAACAGTAAGTATTCTTAGCCATTTCATTTGGGTGGGTGTTCTTTCTTGGCTCTTTTCTCCTTACTTTTGTGTTCCTTTTCAGACTGACAGGTTCTCCGAGCCATTTACAGAATAATAAAAAAAAATGCCTGTAATCAAAAACAACATAATACCAGAGGAGAGGAAACAAGATAGCTTAAGCACCAGTTCTTAATGTTTACTGCTCCTGTTAAGGCTAGGTAGGATGGAAATGGGGCTACAAAGAGGCCTAGATGAGACCTTCACCTCCAGAGTTGATGATCTTTTCACCACCTGTGGATTAGTTTAGTTTAGTAGTTACAGGACTTCTTTTGCCGCCAATCGAGTCATACATTGAGTCAAGACAGTTCACAAATCCATTAAACATGACTAAAAACAAAAGTATCCTTCCTCCAAGTACCAGGCCAAACATCCTCACACCTCAACCACCATCTTAGCTCAATAAGTCCTTTATTATAATACTTTATTCATTAAACATGAAANTTTCTGATCGACAAGCTCAGCGTCTTATTCATTGAGCCATCACATCCTTCTTTGGATTGATTAGTTATTTGTAAATAATACATATGTTACCAAATCTGCGTAAAATCCTGGTAGTGATATTGGTGTCATGGGTATATTTTCCTTTTATATCACTTGGTACTATGTCCTTCTGATTGCCAGCTGAGCTGCTCCAAATCCAGACATTCAGTTTTTCTTGGTCCTGTTACTGGCAGTTTCTTTTTAGCTCAAATGCTGGGAACTGAACCTTGGCGTTTTCTGCCCCCAAAATATGTGCTTCTGCCATCAAGCTATGTATTTATTTACTATATTTATATCCTGTTCCTTCAGCAGTGCAGTGTTCCCGAGGCAGCCTACAATTAAAATGAAATTTTAAAAAACAAAACAAACACACAAAACTAAACAAGACGGCAATAAAAATCCAGCAGATGAAATGCGCCCGGGGATGGGGGTGGGATGGGGTTCCGTTAGGTATCCTCAATTGCGGTGGGCAGAAGCGGTTGGAATTGAAAATGGACAGGGAGTCAGGATTGCTTGAAATTCTGAGAATTGCCGTCCCCTTCTTAGGTCAGTAATGCAAGGTTGCAAAAACCTTTTCTTTAGAGCAGGAGTGTCAAACTCAATTTCATTGAGGGCTGCATCAGGGCTGTGGTTGACCCTGAAAGAGGGGGGAAATGGGTGGGTATGGCCAACTGGATGGGTGTGGCCAGCTTGACGCCACTCTCCAAACTGCTGGCATGTTTTCTCTTCGCACTGGATAGACCGGGTCAAAGCTACTATTGTGGCCCACTAGCCAGCAGATTCAGACAGTGAGGAGGTTGGGGAGGAACATGGGCCAGTCTGGGAGTCAGGGGAAGCTCGGATGAGGGCTCTGCGTCGGAGGCAGAGAGAGGGCCAAGGCCATCTGGTAGTTATTTGCTTCCTCNCCGTTCCTTGTCCCAGCTTCTGCCAACCTAGCAGTTTGAAAGCACGTAAAAAATGCAAGTAGAAAAATAGGGACCATCTTTGGTGGGAAGGTAACAGCACTCCATGCATCTTCGGCATTGATTCATGCAGCCCACATGACCACGGAGATGTCTTCGGACAGCGCTGGTTCTTCAGCTTTGAAATGGAGATGAGCACCGCCCCCTAGAGTCAGGAACAACTAGCATATATGTGGAAGAGAAACCTTTACCTTTACCTATATTGCACTAAATCTGAGGTCCTCAAACTACGACCCCCTGGGATGGATACGTGCAATGAACATTTGTGTTGCTGCAGAGAGTCTCCCTCTTTGGGGTCTTTTTGTTAGGGTTGGAGGGGGGCAGAAAATCCGACATGGTGTCTGCTTCAGCCTTCTGTATGGGGCTTTGGGTGAAGGTTGGAGGGAAGCGCCCCTGGTTACGAAGAGCTGGAGGGCTTCGTTCCAGTGAGATCGCATTATGGTCTGGAACTGGCTGACCCTCTCAGCCTGCTGAGCCTCCAGGCGCTGGTACTTGGCCTTGCACTCTCGCAGGTCTTCCCTCTGCTTGGAAAGCCTATGCTGGTAGTCCTCAGTGAGGTGCTTCTGCTGAGCCTCCTTTTCGATCAGATCCAATTTGAACTGGGCTTTTTTGCCAACTCTTTCTCTTGGTGGCTTCTTAGCTCCAACAACTGCTTCCTGTTGGGGCCCTAAGGAGCCTGGGCGGGCGGGTGAGGAGTGGCTGGGAGGGGAGGGGCGAGTAGAGGGTGGCACAGCGCCCCTCAACATGAATGACATTGATTTGGCCACACCCACCTAGTCACATGATCACCTATTCACGACTAGCCAGCTGGTCATTAGGCAGATCTTATTAGTGTTCTGCGGGATTTAAAATTATGAATTTAGTGGTCCCTGAGGTCCAAAAGGTTGAGGACTCCTGGTCTAGAGTCCCAAATAGGGCAAAATGGGCCACATTCTCCCTTTTTCCTGCTGGTTGGTGCAATTGTAAATTGCTGATTGTCTTCTAGGAATGCAGCTAATAACAAGACCTCTTTCAGTGGCCCTTCTGCAACCTAAATTGAATACATACCGCTAGAGCAGGGGTGTCCAACCTTGGCAAAGTTAAGACTTGTGGACTTTGCTGGCTGGGGAATTCTGGGAGTTGAAGTCCACAAGTCTTAAAGTTGCCAAGGTTGGACACCTCTGCTCTAGCCTTCCAACCATGAGTAGGTGCAACAACTAACGTGTTTATTAGCAAAGATGTGATTATGGAAAGATAAAAGTAACTGTATTCAATTGTTCCATGGAACATACTATTTAGATAATAGCTCCATGGGGAATAATCGAAAGGGCAGAAACTACGGTGCAAACTTTCAAGTTTTCCTGAGCCCTCCATTAGCCAAGAAGTTGCAAATGCAGGGATTGGGGGAAAACAGCAGGAAAGTCCCAAAATTAAACCAGCTGTTTCAGCCATTGGATCAGTAGCGAAAAGTTAGCTAAAAGTTAGATATCATTTGTATCAGGTTCTCGCTCGCTCTTCCTCCCCTTTCTCCCTCTCTCTCTCTCTCTCTCTCCCCTCTCCCCTTCCCCTCCCTCTCCCTCCCCTCTCCCCCTCTTTCTCCCCCTCTCTCTCTCCCATCCCGCTCCTGCCCTCTCTCCCTCTCTCTTTTCCTCTCCTCTCTCTCCCCCTCCCCCTTCCTATCTCCCTCCCTCCTTCTCCCCTCTCTCCCTCCCCTCTCCTCCCCACTCCCTCCCTCCCTTCGCCCTCTTTCTGTTTTCTACCAGACCAAGAATTTGGGAGCTTAGTCTTTGCCAGGAGACAAAACTCTAAATATTTTCAGAAGTGTGATAGATTATACAGTGACTTTCCGTTGGATGGATATGCTCAAATGCATTCAGGTTACAACCCAGTTTACCCACTTTTAATTAAAAATGGCTTTTGTTTCCTACACTTTTGGGTCTGATGCATTACATTTTTTTTTAATTCTGTACATTGCCCAAGGCTGGTATTGAGTTGACCAGCATTATAAATCTAAGCTATAAACAATGAACCTGGTTTTCAAATACAGCGACAGACTATCGTGCTATACAAAGGCAGACAAATCGCATCGTGGCTGCGGGAAGGCCGGCGAATTCAACCATGATGTGGCAAATGGAAGGAGTTAAAAACCTGCTCAAAACGTCAGCCGTCTATTTGTGGAAAAAACAGCCCCGTGTCGGTAGAAGTAATCCAATGCCACGGGTTCCTTTTGTTTGCCTGGGTCAGTTTCCTGCATTTTTACAGAAGTGGGAGTCAGGAACCTCCTGGGCGGACATGCCTGAGTAGGTGCTGGAATAAGATAATGCGTCTATTTCGAGCAGCCCTGCAGATGTAGTGTGACCGAAATGCATCTCTATCTCATTCACCCGAGGTTGACGTCAGGTGCTACCACCAAGATATCGAAATTGGCAGGGGCTTAAAAAAAAAAAGACGAGGTTCACTCCTCCATCCAATGCTTAGAGACCTTGGAGTCTCTCTTGTTTTTCCAAAGGTACAAGTAGAGATATTAGGCAACACTCGGCTCAAAAACAGGTAACTGTGAGAGGGATCTTGGGAGTCCTAGTGGACAATCACTTAAGCATGAGCCAGATCTGTGTGGCAGCAGCCAAAAAATCGAATACGTTCCTTGGTCGTATAAACAGAAGCATAAAATCAAGATCACGTAAAGGATTAGTACCGCTTTATAAATTCTTTTAAACCTTATCAGGGACGCAGTGGCTCAGTGGCTAAGATGCTGAGCTTGTCGATCAGAAAAGTTGGCAGTTCGGCGGTTCAAATTTCTAGCGCCGCGTTACTGAGTGAGCTCCCATTACTTGGCTCAGCTTCTGCCAACCTAGCAGTTCAAAAGCATGTAAAAATGTAAGTAGAAAAATAGGAACCTCTTTGGTAACAGCGATCTGTGTGCCTTCGGCGTTGAGTCATGCCGGCCACATGACCACAGAGATATCTTTGGACAGCGTTGGCTCTTTGGCTTTGAAACGGAGATGAG